TTCCCCAATGGCTCAGTTCTCTCTCAGGTGAAAACGGTAGCGGCTAGTGAAAAGATCACGTTGGGCTTCCTATCAGTACAAAATCCCTGTGGAGAAAATACAAAATAAAATATTCATTAAGCTAGCATTCCTGTGAAAAGCCACCATGTAAGGCCTACAGTGTTAGCTTCTTGTCACCCTGAAAGATTTGGAAATACGTAATTGACCTAAAAAGCAAAGCTGGTCTTCTGCTTCAGGTACACAGCCGCTGAGCATAGAACTGCACTCTCTCTGACCAGCACCAAGGCAACTAGTTTAAAGCCAGCCAGGACCTTGATGCTTCTTTTAAAACTATTCATTGAAAACACTGTGAGTAGGGGTCAAAGGTAGGTAAAGACAGAGCTTAGCTTGAACAGCAGCAAAAAAAAAAAAATCCATTAGGATCCGTATCATCCTGGCCACTGCAACGCCACGTGCAACCACTTTCTGGCACAAGTCACATAGCATGACTACACCAAATCAATGTAATTACCACCCTTAATACGGCTCGTTGTAATAATCTCCAAGAACTGAAAGCAATTTACTATCCCAGAACAAGTTTACCAGAGCCTTCCAGGAACACGGGCACAAATACATGGCTAGTTAACTAATGCTGCTTCATTTCTAACAAGGGGAAAACAAGAAACATCTAAGCCTCAGAAACAGAAACTGCGCTACACCTGAAGAGAAATGTGGGAAAATGAGCCTAAGTTGGTAAGCTTACTGTATTTACTGATTCACTAATCCAAAACAAATGTCTTCCCTCTGGTAAGTCACAACTGTAACAGGGCTCATTGATTGTTTCACTTGTTTACAGGCATTTAACAGAAACTCATTATTCCTGGTGTAAGGAGGAAATACCCACACTTTCACGGTTCTGTTTCTTCTACGGTCCTTGGCAGAAACACTTTTCTAGTGTAAGTGCCCACAAGAAACAAGTATTTCACCTGAGAGGACAGGGATACTAGCTTATCTTTCAAGTAAAATCACCCAGGTTCCACGCGCAACCTTTCAGAGTTTCAGTCTGAAGAGTACTGCATGTCTGAATGACCCACTTTTTAAAGGTAAACAGTGTAGCATGGTCACAGTGAAAGGGACTCCAGGAGAGCTATAAAGATGTTACTTCACATGCTCATGAACAAACTTCTAGAGAAACCCACAAAGAAAAGTCTTGTCCCTGCCCAAGAATGGGATTGCAATTTTGCTTTCTACAGTAGAAAAATTCTAACATAGGACTAATACCCAGGATGTTAGCAATTACAGAACACAGTACTCAGTGATTAGCAGCCAATGTTCATTTGAATTGACTAAATTTGATTAGAACTGTGAATACTCGGTACCTTTGAATATTTAGACCCTAAATATTAGGAACACTAGGACAAAATTACAGAACCACACAAAATTAGCAGATCTTTTCTAAAATCCTGGTCTCAGTAACATGCAGAACACAGAACAAAACTTAAATTGATTTAATGCCGTATGCCCTAGCCCATTTGATTGATGTCTCATGGAAATCGAAAACTGACATGTGATTATCATCTTATTTTTCCAACCAAAACCTCTGTTTGATAATAGCCACTTATTTTCAGACACGAGCTTCCCATATCACCACTACAAAGTACTTATTCAAGACAAAGAACCATTAGTCTGCATCATGTAACATTCCTAATATGCATTATTTAACATTAGTATGACTAATACTTAATTGCATGCAATTCAGTTCTATCTAAACTTAGTTTAGCAGGAGAAAGTCACTGGCCAGATGTCACAATTTCACAATACGGAGGAACTACACACAAAGGCTGATTAACTTGTTTAATATTAATCTCATCTGCACTTTAACTAACAATAAAAATCAGAAAGATCTTGTTTGTACATCTCACAACAAGGCAAGATTAAAGCAGAAATGACTGTTCAACAGACACAGCAACAAGGATAAGAGACAGGTAAATTCTTAACTAAGCACACAAAATCATATGGCCTCATCCTGCACAAACTGCACCTACCCCAGAATTTGGAAGTAGAATTTGGCAGTCCTAGACAGTCTCCTCTTCCAAGAAGAGTAGTACTAATTTGAACAGAAAATGCCAGTAAGTTGTTTAACTTGCATTAGGCATATCAAAAGAAAAAACAAACAAACAAAAAAACCCCCTATGACTCTTCTTATTCATAACTTACACAAAGCTTAAAACAAATAAAACCTGTCATTTTGCTACCAATATCTATGCATTCTCTAGAAGCTTTTCATTACATTATTTTTCACACATCAAATTTCTGTGGAAGCTGTCCAAACAGCTACAGAGCTGCAGCAAAAAGCAGCTCTTTACAGATCAGTGGCGGGGGGGGGGAATCAGATCTTCAGAAGTAAAATGATCCCATCAAATGCAAAAAAAAAAACCCCAAACCCTGCAATTAGTAGAAAAGAAAAATACCTTCAAGGCAAAACTGCCATTTTTAAAAGTCACAAGCAGCAACCGACACAATCAAAACCACAGCGCCAGTCATTTCTACACACATTCTCTGTCCCGGCATTTCTGCTGCTAGCTGTTACTATTTGGGGAGTTGTGCCACAGATTTGGAAGATGCCAGAGGTCTCCCATCTGCACCCTGCATTTTCAGCTTTCCCGATAATGAAAGAAAAAAGAAAAGAGGAAAGGAAAGAAAAAGGAAGAACAAAAATCACAGAAGGTCAGTGATGCAGAATGAGCTGAAGGACAACTCCTGCTACCGGCTGACAGAAATCCCTGCCTACCGCGCTCTGCCACCTGCCAGCCCACGGCTGCTCACATCCCAGCAGAACTGCGTGCTCAGGACCGCAGCTGCACATCTCTGCGCACCGAAGTGAAAGCAGCTTAACCGGCAGCCAGGCACATGCAGTAGTAATCCCAACCTCGCATATGGGTACCCACGGACCGGAGACCCACATCCTCTCGCACGTGATGGCAGGTCAAAAATAACGCTGTCAAACTGCACGCACACTGCAAGATGGAGGTGTGGTTCAGCACGTCGCTGCACAATACATTGCTACTACTCCTCCTTGCATGGCCGATTATTAAGATTAGACTAGAATCTGGTTTCTTACTAGAGCTTGAGGATCTCAGTTATGAGAAAAGACTGAAAGATTTCTCACTGTTTCTTGTTCTAAATATATGGGAGTGGCCTGATGCAAAACTGATTATGATTTTTAAAAGTTTTAAAAGCTCATCATAAAGGTAAGATCAATATTTTCACCATATTATTCCTTTTCAATTGTTTGGGCAGAGAACGTACTCCATAATGGAAAACTCTGATCTTCAGTAGCTGGCAAACAGCAAAATTCTGCTAGTCATGACAATTTTGTACTCAGTCAACGTATATGTTCTTTAGGCAGGGGAGAAATAACTTTGAACTTTTCCTCATCTACATGTTTTAAGAATCATTCTGCGTTTAAAAATCACCCTGTGGACAAGGACAATTACTGATTCATTTAATGATGCCACCAAAGTTTAAACATGCTAGAAGTATAACTTTATACCACAAAACTGGGGGAAAAAAAATGCCCAAGTGACTAGCGCTCGAAAAAAAAATGATGCTTTCCTTCTCCAGCATTCATGTTTATTTTGCTTACTATTAGATACATTTTTGCACTTAAAATACTTCCACCATACATGCTATTCTTCCTATTTTCATCCGTCAAGTTTACTGGGAACACAGACTTGCATCACTTCTCTCTTTTCCATCTCTGTTCAGAACGTTACCCAGCTTTCATTTACAAGTGAGCAAGGAACGAAACGAGGGAATCCTGACACAATGGTCTATAGCCGGACCAGGAAGCAAGTAGTTCTGGAGCTTTACCCTCTCTCTTAGTGAATATGTAACTCTGAACACCTCATACGCTTTGAGGCCCATTTATTTATTAATTTACAACTACATAAAACTGTCCTAACAAACAAAGTGGAATACGAGAGTCCTAATCCTACTCCTAGTCCTGTCCCTAATGAGCGTGCAAGTATTTTCATCAAGCTAAAGAAGCTGTATTAGGTTATAAGCAAGCTTAGTATTTCTAACCTCGTGATAAAGTTTTCACTCAATTCTCCCATCACAGATTTACAACTTTCAGACAAATATAGTTCTATAATGTAACTATGTTAAACTTTTGTGAAATGTAGTTACAAACAAGTTCAGGTTCAAATCTCACAAAGTTTCCCTTCTGCAAGGTACACTTGTCTCTTGTCATTCCAAGCTCCCTCCCTCTGAAGCAACATGACATTTCTACCTTGTGAACTGTGACTCTCTGCACTCGTTTCCTTTCAGCACCTCAAATGCCAGAGCTCTTCAAATACCTCATTCTTCAATCAAATAAGAGCTTCTGATGAATTCTTGTTTTGATACTGCAAGACAACTCTCTGTCTTTCCAATTCTAAACCCTAAATCCTTCCTTCATCCACAAATTTTAACTTATTATTGTGATTAAAGAAAAACCTCCAAGCTGGGATTTAGCATTTTTCTTTTAAGAAATCCCTTTGTAATAATTTAATGATAGAATTAATTTCTGTCTGCATTGGCACATCCTTAGGGCTGAAATTCATAAAGACTGCCAAATCTACAGATCTACTTTGATTTTATACAGTTTACAGAAAAGGATAAATTGGGAAATTCTTCAAATTAAAATACAAAGATTTTACCGTATTTCCATAAACACCGACAACCACTCCTGCAATGAATGTATTTTACAAGTGTGAAAGAGAGAGGTTTTGCAACTTAGTTGAAGTTATACAGACCACAGTTTATTTAAAAAACATATAAACAAAAATCAAAGGGGCACAAAATACAAAAAAATTTCAGAGCAGCTTGTCATATTGAGATCATATTATTGAATCCATAATATCATCAAAATGTGGTACTACATAAGCCATGGTAGGTATAAAAAAAAATGTGGAAAATCTACTTGCCATTACATTAATCAGTAGTTACAAATGTGCTGTAAAAGGAAGTCCATACATCACACTTATTTGTTTCAAGCACTTTTCATACTGATTATTCAGTTTCACAGATTCCTGTACAGCATGCTTTAGATCTTCTATCTCTTCAAAAAAATCCTAGAGAAAGCCAGAAATATTCACCTTGAAGTTTCTTTCAAAGACATTCTCAATAAGAGCTAGTCAGCATTTCAGTTGTTCCCAAGTTCAAAGACACTTCCTATATTTTTATTAATATATGGTCGAGTTATGCAAACATAGCTATGGCAAGATACATCAATCAACTATAACGTTACATAATAATTTAAAACTTTGCCCTGAACACATAATGCAAGCAGAATTCAAGTTATGTTAGAGCCTGAAATCAGGCTAATAATAGGAAAGATGAATTAAGAGAAGGAAAAGATGTTGATTTATCAGAAAGCTACACAATGACAGTCCAAAATGACAAGGCAATAATGTCAACCTCATCTGTGCAAAAATATAGCTATATGTGCTGAAGTCAGCCGGTAGTAGATAACACACCGTTAACTTTGAAGATCTGAAAGTTGCAAGATTATAAAAAAGGGACAACAAGCAAGGAGATAGATGAGGAGAGTAAACTAAGGAGGATGATGTTAGCATTTCAACAAGACAATACTAAAGACTTTAAGATGGAAAAAGGGATACCATATTTAGACCCAGAAAGATATAAAATATTTTTAGACCTTAACTGCTTTGTAATTCCTAGTATGAGTTTAGAACCTCAAGTACAACTACATTTTGTTCATTAATGTCCTATTTCAGAATAGGGTCTATTATTTATGACTACACTATGTTAAAAAGTTTGATTTTCATATTGAAAAGGGTAAGATTTATGATACATTAAACTTGACAGAGCCTAATACAGGTAACACTGTCAAACAGGTTCAATTGATAAAACCAATTTACAACAAAGGAGGGAATGAAAAAGAGCAATATGTAAGGCTACACAGAATGTAAAGAGACAGTCCAATAAGAAAGCCATAAAAACCAAGTCCTGTTGAACTTATTTAATGTCAGCCTATGTGGTTTCACTTTCTCAGATTGATCCTTTCGTAATTATACTGTCCCAGAATGCGTAACTTAACAAGTAGTTCTACCTCTATCTAATTCAACTAGGAGATAAATTCCGCTTCACAGAAATAAACTTCATATATTAAAAATATTGATGGCCCATAACTTAAATGTTTTGTTCAGCTCCTGCAACTCAAGTCTATTGAGCAATTCTGATCCTTTGCAAGTGAAGTCAGAAGTTGCTAGGACATACAAGGACAGCAAGCAGAGTGTAATCGCCCAGGACTTAATTTCAACAACCTTGGAAAGTCCTATCTACCAGAGTAATACTGTATCTACTTATATCCATCTATATTTGACATCTGCTACTGCCTATTCTGACTTTTTTTTTTTTTAAATGAACAGCTACATACATCTTAAATAACCTACAGTGACTTAAAACTACCTAAAAAAGGGTCACTGATAAAAAGCCATAACCTCAGATTTATATATTTCTCTTCTAAAAGATGAAACTTTCAGCCACAAGCTGTCCCTAACTCCCAAACACGGGGATCTAGAACTCATCCTGGCTCAATGTTCTACAAGTTTCACATCTAATGAACTATCACCATGTTTTACTGTTACCCCTGTAATGAAAGCTAGCATAATATTTAGCTTGTGAGAGGGGATTGCAAGATAAGAAAACAGGTTCTCAAAAAAAAAAAAATCAACACAAGACTTGAAGAATAAGCAAAAAACAATTTAAACAAGTTTGTTGCTGAAAATAAAATCTTAGGTCAGTACATTAAACTGAGTCCTCTATGGCTAGATAAGATCTCCTCATCTTTTCACATAATTTCAAGAATTACCAAATTTTCACACTTCCTCTTTCTACATCTGTATGGACAATCTATCACGAAACCTCCAAGGCCCTCCCCTCTGCCCTCCCTAAGCTTAGGGTTCTGTCAGAGGCATAACTTTGACATGTTTAAGTTCAAGAGAAAATAGTTTTCCTCTCACTGACATCATGAAGCAATAGAAGTGATCATTCAAAAAAATATTTTTATTATGTCTGCAAATGCCTGTTGGAAGGAATTAAGACTGTTACCAAGAGTTACAATTTTAATGTCACAACGACATGAGACAAATAATCTCTCATGAAGGAAACCAAATTGCCCAAACATCAAAAGAAAAAAATCCACAAGAAAATCCAGCAGTTTAAAACAAAAAAAAAACAACCAAACAAAAAAAATTGCATTATTCCTCTTCCTTAGCCAAGCAGTATTGTAGGACACTAATGTTTCAAGGACTCATCCATTTCCATTTCTTTCTCAGAATGCTATAAATTGATTTTTTAATGTATTTTGCTTGATAGCAGCATATGTTCAGCCTAAAGATAAGTTTCAGTTCAGGCAGAAAAGTTAGTTTTTCAAAAATCACCTATTCTTAAACTTGTCCTAAAATAAATTACCTTGTCTAATCCGGCTAATTCATTTTTTAGTGCTCTCCTTTCTGTAGACAACTTTTCATTTTCTTTCTTCAGCTTTTTAATCTCCTTCAACAATAGCTCTATATTCAAATAAAAAATATAGACTTCAACCATTAGTCAACCTCCCCCTCATATGAATCATATTACAGCTAAAGAGCTGCCTACGTTTTGTGATATTAGAAAATTATGGTTCAGCTTCTTAAAGTACCTTTTTCAGAAAGTGATTTATTCTTAAGAATTGGCCCAGCACACTGCCAGGTACTATGAAAGATAACAGGATCTGTCAATTGGATAATCTGAATCTGCCAGATTCTTAGAATGCAGGATTATTTTACTTTAAAATCCACAAAACATACATCACATGCCTTGATTACCTTTTTCTGACTTATGAGAGGGTCACATTAGCCCTTGCTGACAGCGCATTTCCTGAAAATTATGCCTACATTATATGATCTCTTCAATCTCTTTTTTTATGCTTTGAAGTGGAATAGGATTGCACCTCAACTTGTGGATTTACTTATGTGAGGAAGAACATGTTCAAACCAGTATTGTCTGGGTTTGTCCCACATTTTAAGGCTAAAAACAGATTCTTTTGTGTATCAGCGTCTGCAATCAAAGAATGGAGCAGCAAACATTATCTCAAAGAGATCTGCATAGATACAGCTTACTGGAATAAATAATAAATAGTACTAAATACAGCCATGCACTCCCATTCATGATTACACCCACATACGAGTTTCAGAAAAAGAGAAAAGCAGCAAACACTTATTTTTATCGCAAACAAATGCAGGGCTGGATCCATAGATAGGACTTTGATTATGAGATGCCATTTTTACATAACAGGTTTTCAAAAATGAAAAACATTTTAGATACTGCTGGTTGAAGTAGAAGAAATAACCTGGAGTGTGCCTTTGGATCTGAAATGAAATGCATCATCTGTGATGGGCATACTGGAAACAACATGATCAGAATTAACCGTACCATTACCTAAATATTTACTGCAACAGGATTCCTTCTTTTTAGACATGTCCCTGCGAGATGTTACTTCTCCCTCTGTGGTTCGACTTCTTTTTCCAGAAACAGCACTAGTTTTCCAAGAAACCTTTTTACGTTCCAATTGCTCAATTCTTTGCCTCTGCTCTCGAAGATTATGCTCTAGCTCATGAATTTTAATCTGTCAAGAAACTAAATTTTTTTAAAAATGCATAGAACACAGTTCAACTGAATACAGCTGGAAACATATCCTGAATGCAAACCTAGAGCTTCCAATTGCTGACTTAAAACTATATTCATCCAAAGCGTCTGAAAGGAGAAAAAAAATACAGCAAGCGAAGTTCTGCATACATCAAAAGTGTTTTAAAAAAATCTGTTACTGAGCACATGCTCGCAAGACAGTATAAATGTACATGCACAAAGATGCTAAACCTTGTCACACAATAAAGCCTACTTTTACAGCAGCAATTGCCAGCTTCTAAGAAAAAGTACATATAATCCAAATCATAATGAATAAATTAATTTACAAACAAACGAAGCACATGTTCCAGACTCCTAGGAGGAAACAAATTAGACTGGTCAGCTGTAACGCTTGATCAATGCCTGAAGAGGCCATACCCACTCAAAGCTTCTTGAACCACTCCTGGCCACACAAGCCTACCTTTGCTCCAGTTATGATGCTAGTCTCTTTGCACAGCAGGCCAACAGATTTTGCTATCTGACAGAAGACTATTTGCCTTCGTTTGGTTAGCTTACTGCCGGATTTCTGAAATAAATCAGCTCATGACACATCCAGAAAAATATCAGGGCTGGTGCAAGAGAGGTCGGAAGATGCATATACAATTGGAAGGAGGGGTAGGTAGGTGAGTAAAGAAAAAAGCAAGGAAAGGGGAGACAGCTTTCAGTTACAGACATACCAGTGACAGACTTCACTTTCAAAGGGAACTACGGACTACTTTCCCTGATCTCAATGGCATGGGAAACAAAAATGAGTATAAAAAGAAAAACATGGTCTCATTTTACAAATGTAAGAAATACTTTTCAGTCTCGCTAAAAGCTTATGTTTGGCTATTTAATACCATCTTCTACAAATTCTACTTACAGTGAGATTTTTAATTGCTTCACTTTGCTGCTGGTTTGTTTTGATTTCTTTAACATAACGTTTCTGTAGATCATTATACATCTGAAGTAGTCTAAAACAGAAGAAATGCATAAATTGCAATAAAATACAGAAGCCAATAAAATGTGCATCCTTTATGATAAAAGTATTACAGATGCCCCATAGAGATCACTTGGACCATAGCTGTACTGTAGAGACTCAAAACAGAAATATTTAAGATGGGTGTGAATGAAGTGTGACCAGCAACACAGAAAGAGAATGCAGCAGAAAAAACAGCAAAGTGGGAGTTAAAAGAATGGTCTGTGTCGATGGCAAAGAATCCCTTTCACTCAGCCAGACTGAGGACCCTGCTGTCCAGCCCACATGGCCGCACTCTGATTAAACCTCAGTACAAACAACTCGTTGATGGAAGACCCGTACACTAGCAATAGGAGGGTGGCAACAAGTTTGCAGCATGTCACATATATCATTCCTCTCCCCATTAGCACAACCAGAATAGCAAAAGACCAGTCCTAAAGGATATAAAAAAGTTTGTCCAGAAACTAGTTTCTTGCCACCAATCAAGAACCCGTGATGAGGACTCATGAGGCAGCGTCCCCAGCTCTCCATATTGCACACAAGCAACCCTGGCCAGATCACCTGGACACACACATCTCATTACTTCTGAGCATGTGGGTGTGACAATATGAGTGAATGAAATCTATGAGAAAATGAGTATGAATGGGTAAAATAAACGTAAAATAAACAGATTTGGGATATTATATTTCCCCTTGATATTATCTTGCATCAAGTTCTGCTACACTAATTTCCTACAGTATTTCATAGCATTCAGTCTACATATATCGGGCCCATAATGTAACTGATGAACATGAACAGACATTTTTCCTATTTTATTAGGAATTCGAATAAGAGCCAGCATTCATACCAAGTCATGACTGCGCACCACAAGCAGGATAAGCAATACTAGTAGAGAACAGCTTTGTAAAATAACATACAAATAGGTGCTAGGAAAAAAGCTAGGTCAGGTTATCTATGTGCAACCTAATACAAAGCAGGTCCAGCACTAGATTCAAAGCATAACTCAGACTTCTTCAACATAAGCGTCTAATTAGGTACTCAATTCAAGCCCAGAGCTAGATACCCAGCCTTCCCCTGTAGTTCACAAAGAGAGTCTGGTGGACTGCAAAGGTATTTAAAAAAAAAAGAAAGAAAAAGAAAAAAAAACAGGCCTTCTACAGCCACCTAAAGGAAACACTAAAAACAGGGTGCTTGAATAAAGAGCAATTGGGACTGCCTCTATCTTTGTAAGATCCACAGCCTACAGCCCATTTCTGTAAGTGGACAAAAAGCAGCCTTTGAAAGAATGGAGCAGCCTATTTATTTTAAAATTAAGTCATAGACCAACATTTCATGTAGCATGCCTAATTGTTAAAATGTTTCAATATACATTTCAATATACAAAATGTATCTTTTGTATCAAAAAAGCAGTTACAACAGTTTATTCCTAGCATTAATTGGCAAACTATAGTAAGTCGTGGCTCACTTCCAAAATCAATTAGACTGAAAAGTAGAATCACTTGTGTGGCCTATTTTGAAAGCAGGACTAGCCTATC